GGGCCCATGGGCATGTATGGGGAGGTGCCTCTCCAAGTTCATTCAGTCAGCAGATAATTAATCATTGCCATGTGCCAGCCATTAGGAAGGCTTCCCAGAGGAAGCATGTGAGCTATGTGTTAAGTATTGTTTGATCATGCATCTTAACTGGTAAAGGCCTTCCGAACTCAGGTTGCCCATATATGTGATATTTATTTATTTATAAATGATATAGCTTCTCTTAGGCTAGGGTCTCCCTTCATGTATGAGTTGGAATAAATGGCCACCAACGTCCCTTCCAACTCTGAAATTCTGTGAATCCATGATAATATATTATGTATATTATGAAATCTGTGCCAAAAAAAGTTTTAAAAGGATTGATAAAGATGAAATAAACAATATTTGCAAAGCATGTTTATTGTTTTTATGAAACGCACCAACTAAGCCCAAACCTTTCTGATCTGCTTGAAAACAATGATGAAGTATGCGTCACTGTTTTTAAAAATCTTTTTTTTTGTGTGTGTGTGAGGCAGTTGGGGTTAAGTGACTTGCCCAGAGTCACACAGCTAGGAAGTATTATGTGTCTGAGGTCGTATTTGAACTCAGGTCCTCCTGACTCCAGGGCAGGTGCTCTATTCACTGTGCCACCTAGCTGCCTCTGTTTTTGAAAATCTTGCTTTGGTGTTCTGTTATGGCGTGGTTTGAAGGTCTGGGCCAACATTCTGTTTATTTCAATGCTGAGTTCAATGTTTCAAAAACCGCTTCCACAGCTGAAATGGGAAGAATTTAAGATTATAAACAACTAAACCCACAAAACACCATTTTTAAAAGCAAGAGGGTGATCGTCAGGAGAAAAGGTATTTATGTGCTCAACATCAAATTCATTGCTCTCAGAAGTTTTCTTCCCTATCCCAAAGGAAAAAAATGGATATCCAAAAAATGCCCCACGTCTTTGGAAGTGTAGGTGCAGGCGGTGCCCCTCCAGCTGTCAATACTCAGCCCCTGCCTCTAAGTCCCCTCACCAGCCCAACCAAAATAAGGATGGGTTGATTTCTGCATTTCCTTATCCCACAGCATACACGGAAGAGTGTAAGCTTCTCGAAGGCAGCCATCTGTTTTGTCTTTGTACCTTCTAGATATACTTCATACATGCTCAATGAACTGAGATGAAGCCTCTGTCTTTCCTAATAGCTGCAATCAATAATATGGTGCTTAAAGGTTTGAATATTATATAGTGTATAATAGTATGTATACTATATATTATATATGCTATGTAACTATATATTTCTATCTATATATGCTTTATCTGTATTGCCACATGTGATCCTCACAACCATTCTGAAAGGCAGGGGTTTGTTATTATCCCCACTTTATAGTGAACAAAGGTGAAATGACTTGCCCAGGGTCACGCAGCTAGTGTCTCAGGTGATTTGAACTCAGGTCTTCCTGACTCCAGGCCCAGCTAGAAGCTATACACTGCTCTATCCAGTGGCCATCCATTAGAACTTCTATTTCTTTCTTTCCTTTTTTTTTTTTTAATGCAGGGACTGGCGGATGACTAATTGGGTCACAAGTCTCTGAGAGAAGGGAACGTGAGATCATTGCGTGAGCCCCTTGATTTTACAGATGTGGAAACTGAGGCTCAGAGCAGTCCAGTGACTTGCCCTAAGTCACCCAGTAAGACAGAGCCAGGTGGGCAGAAAGGTCTCCTCTTCCTGCTTATTAAGGGACTGACTTCACCAAACCCAAGGGGCAGCAGGCAGGGTGCCCTGCTGGGTAGTGACCACCTGAAGGAAGTCAGCACTGTCCCCATGTCACCCTCCCGTCTTCACAACTGGACATGGGGCCATCTGACATATGATCCCTGTGCCAGGATCCATCTTCATATTAAGTTAATTGGTGAAGCTTAATTTCTTTCTTTTTTTTAATTAAAAAAAGTTCTAACGGATGGCCACTAGGTGGTGCCACACTGCACAGACCTCTGAGCCTAGGGTCGGGAAGAAAGGAGTTCAAATCCAACCTCAGGCACTTCGTAGCTGTGTGGCCCTGAGGGAGTCACTTGACCTCTGCGTGCCTCAGTTTCCTCAGCTGTAAGAGCAGGGTTTGGACTGTTCGGTCCTTTCTTCTCTAGATCTAGGATCCCTCCTTGGATCTTTCTGCTTTCCTCCAAAGCCGAGCATAATGCCCCCCAAGGCTGGGGGGGGGGGGGTCTCGCACCCTACTGCCCCTCCCCTAAATGACCCTGAATTGACTTCCTTTTCTATCTCTGCATTATACCCAGAGGCCAGCTCCCTGGGGGGGAGGGGTGTTCCACCTTTGTCCTGGTTTGGGGGAGGAGCTTTTAACCCCCTCCCTCATCTGACAGAGGGGGACACTGAGGCTCAGAGAGGGGCTCCCGAGCGGGAGCCGCGTGCCTCCTGCTCCCTCCCTGCCCCGGAGGTCTTTCTGGCTCGGGGGGGCTGGTTGGGGCCAACCCCCTGCTGGGCACTCCCCGGCCTTAAAGGGGGAGAGAGAAGGGAGGGGAGGGAGAGGGGGAAGGAGGAGTGAGAAGGGCCGGGGAGAGCAGGCGGGGCTGGGGCCGGGGCTGGGGCCCCTTTAAAAGCCACGTGCTCTGCCCCGGCCTCCCAGGCCCTTCCCTGCCTCCTTCCGCTCGGGCAGTTCTCCGCCTCAGCCGTAGGGGGCGCTCCGAGACCGGAGTGTGCATGATGGGAACGCTGGTGGGAAAGAATCACGTCCTTCCTCCAGTCTGAAGCGTTCCAGCCCCCGCCCCCGCCCCCGCCCCCGCCCCCCAAGTGCGTCCGAAAAACTGGCCCTTCTCCTTTAAGGCCGCCGGCGTCAGGAGCGGCTCCACGCAACGAAGCGTGTCTGAGAAGTTCGCAGGTTGGCTGAGGAGGAGGAGGAGGCCCCCCACGTCTATTAATCTCCTAAATTGGCCAATCCCTGATCGGCATCTCCCTCTGGCGCCCGCCTATTGGGTGGTTCATGTGGCGGGGGGGCTGGAGACCAATCGGAGGCCCCCTTGCGTGGGCGTGTCTTCAGGCCTGGCACGCCCCACGCCCGGAACAGTCGCGGTTGCCATGGGCACGGGTGGGCGGCAGGGGGAAAAGCCCCGGATGTTGGTGCGGGATTCAACATGGCGGCGGAGGCGGCCGCGGTGGCGGCTCTGGCCTGGGCGAGCTGAGGTGTTGCGAGGAGGGGACTGAGCCCCGGGAGGAGCGGCGACCTAGCCGGCGAACAAGGTTGGAGAATCGGGGGGCGGGGACGGGTTAGGTGGACGCTGGGACACCGAGGTGGGGGCGTGGCGCCGGGGTGGGGGGTGGGGAAGGCAAAGGTCGACACCTGGGTGGACGGGGGCGGGGCCGAGGTACGGGGGAGAGGGGACCCCAGTGTGGCGGTCAAAGGTCAGAACCTGAGGGGTCGGGTTAATGGTCAGAACTTTTAAGGGACTCGGGGCCATTACCTGGTGCGGTAATCGTGGGAATCCGGGAGCAGCCAGGGTTCCAGGGGTCAGGGGTGAGGGGTCAGAGAACAGGGAGGGCAGTCAGGTTCCCTCCCCCCTCCACTCTTGGCTTGACCAGAGTGCGGGGAGAGGGCCTGGCCCCACTTAACGCCTCCACCGTGGAAAGGGGGAGGGGTATCTGAGACACACCCCTTGCCCGCGAACGTTGCCCTACTTGATCCTCTCTTGTGACCTGTGTGTGTCTGCACATGCATGTGGGTATCTGCACGCATATGTGTGTGTTTGGGCATGTGGGTTGTGGTAGCGTGTTCGTTGTGTGTGCTGTGCATCATGCATGTGTGCATGCATGCATGGGTGTGCATGGATGTCCCTCTAAAGAGGCAGCGGCCGGGGGTGTCGGGAACAGACCTTGGTCCTGATCCGGGCTGCCCTGCCAGGGTGACCCCAAGCTGTGCCTTAACTTCCCGGGGCTCTAAGCAGTCCCAAGAAGGCGCTGATATGTACGAGGAGAGAGAATTTCCTCTTGCTGAAGAAATCCCAGGTCCAGTCCAATCCCTGCTGCTACGGATTTCTGTATTTCTTGGTGTAGCGAAGGAATGTAAACTCCTTGAGGGCAGGGAATGGCCTTATGTGTATTTGTATGCCCAGTGCTGGGCACCTTTGTTGAGGTGCATGATCAGTCTGCTTTGATTTGATCGGTTTGATTGATTAGAGGAGGAAGGAGAGGTGGGGCCGGGCAGGGTTCAGTGGAGGTTGGGGGTGGGGACTTACCAGCTGGTGTAGTGGGCTGGGTGTCTGGCAGCCTGGCGTCTGGGCTGGGCCCTTCACGCTGTGGGCTATCTGACCCCTTTCTGGAGGGGAAGGAGATTAGCTCTCTTGGAGAGGAAGAGGAATTCCAGGGAACTGGAATGGGTGGGTGTGGCCTGGGGAAGGAGGGTTCAGGGCAGGCTGGCTGGGGTGTTGCTTGGACAGTGGAGTTTGGCCTTTCTGGGCGGGTGCCTGAGTGTGACCAGGGCTGGGCCTGGGAGGGTAATATCTGACGGAGGAGGAGGAAGTGTTGGCCTCCAGGAGACCCTGGCTGGGGAGAGGGGTTGGGTGAGTCACTGCCAAGAACCAGCTGGGAGTTGGGGAAGAAGAGAGGGTTCTGCTGGGCTGAGCCCTGGGGACAGGCAGGTGTAGGTCTCTGGGACCCAGGTTCAAGTGTGCTTTGTAGAAAAGCAGGTGTGTGTACCTCTGGCACTGGGAGGGGCTGTGGAGGAGGGGAAGGGGGAGAGGGTAGCCTGTGTTCATCATCTCTGGACCCTGGCTAGAGCCTCCCCGGGTATTGTATGGAAATCAGCATCCCTGGGAGTAGCAAGCATGCATTTCTATGGGACGTTTGTCCCAGGGGTGTGGGTGGGCAAGGTAGGGAAGGGAATCAGCTTAGTCTGTGTCTCTCTGTGGGACTTTAAGCCCTGCTAGGGGTTATGTGTAGTGGAGGGAGGGATTCATGGCAGCGAGCTATCTGAGAATTGGGGCTCTTTTTGAAGGCCCCTGACTCTGAGG